CTTAATCGAAAACTAAACTTACGGAGCAGGCGTGACAAAAAAATAATACAAGATTCCTCACAACTCACAAGTTGCTAGTTGAAAGTAAATCTACGAACATTTTTTATGAGAATTTGAAGTTCAAATTTTTCTACATTAGGTAGATATTCACCCGCAGTAAATTAACGAATTCTCATCGAACCATTTTTTATTTTATTGTAATATAAAAATGAATAACCGTACATACTTGAAATTTTCATAAAACAATGTAGGTATCTCATAAGTGGGTTAGGTTAGGTTAGTTCATACTATAACCGGAATATTTAAGAAATATATAATAACAGTTTTTTATAGATTAGGTTCAAATTAGGACGAAATTAGATAATTAAACGAAGGATAACGATTTTAGCAATTTCGTTGTAGCTATAATGTAAAATTATTTTTCGTTATTTTATTACTTGATCTTTTAATTATATTATTGTATTTACAACACACAGTGCAACTTTTAGTTGCAATTTTTTTGGTCGAAAATTAATTCAACCTACTGTATTAGGTAGGTGCTAATGTCTAATAGTAAAATAAATTACTTTAATAGCAATATCATTGAATCGTTTTTCATATACAACGATCTTAATATCAGTGCTTGAATTGGAAAAAAAAATAGAAGGGGGATGCAAAAGTATAAAAGATATGTGCGTCCCCGAACATTTAAATGTCTTACTGTTAAGTGGTAGCATATGTCCCCCTCCCGCTACAATGACATTTTACACCATACAGCAATAAACAAATATTCCTTTTTATTTAAAAATTAAAAATAAAATATTGTAAAATACATAATAATAATTGTTATTTGTTTTATAAATTTAAATATGCCCATAAATGTTTATATGAATGATCTATGTCATGTTAGTCTCGTTTTGGACATCTTGTTTCTTCCGCACTTCTTTTACCCGTTTTAATCCAACATTTTACATAGTGGTCTGGTTTAAACAATTGAACAGGTGGTCCAACACAACTAATAAACACTAATGATGCTATGTGTTCAGAAGTTAGTACGTTTCTTTTAGGCGTTATTATGTTGTTCATGGAACTAAATTATCTTTTACATTCAGATGAAGATACAGCAATAGTTGAAATTGCAGTTAAAAGTGGGTTTAATGTTGGTATTTTTGAGGAATCTTTCAAGTCTTTAAAGTCTCTAAATCCTCGAATTGCGGATACTTCATTTAAGTAGTCTTGGTTTAAGACAAATTATATACATATCTATGGTATTAAAAAAAAAATAATTTATAATTTAATTATAAAATTTAATAATTTGCAAATTTTCGTGATTTTTCCATATTTTGTCATTTTTTGAACTTTAAATGCTTAAAAAAAAAACTGTGACTAACGATTTTTAATATTTTTCAAATGCCTTTGTAACAATATAGTAGGAGCCTTGTATTAAATTTTCAAGTATTTTTACTCAACAAATAAATTTTTATTGATATTCATAAAAAAAAAAAAAAACTAATAAAATTGGTAACTGAAAAACTCCCTAAACAGTTCAAAATAAATCAAAATATTTTGAAAATGTTATCGTGTATAGAAAATGCAAATATAAACAACCACTGAAAATTTCATGTATCTACGGTCATTTGTTTTAAATTTTCTCGAAAACAGATTTTGTGTAAAAATTCCCGTTTTTCCTTAATTTTTCTTTTGTTTTTCCCAGCGCTTTTGAAAACTACTGGGAAATTTAAATTTTAACCTCCCCAATGCACCAACGATATTCACTTTCCAATCGAACAAGATACTGAAGTTAAAAATCGAAGCATTATTTCGACTACTTATCGTGTACACAGACACAAAAAAAAAAAAAGGTGGGTAAGTGGATGTCGCTCTGCTGTACTGTAGGTTACAAGTGGGTCACTGTATGATGGATGGTATTAAATTTGAATTCAATGATATAATATCATTGTATAAGAAAAACGATTCTGAGCGGAGGCGGTATGTCAGTCTAGGTATAAACTATAAGACATATTATATACTTATTTATGGTATTAAATTATATGGAATTTATGAATAAATTATTCATTGCCCCTTAAAATATGCACAGTCTTATCATTGAGCATACTTCTTATTCCTTATACTATGGTAGATTGTATGGATAGGCCATAATGTGTTGATTTTTCAGTTTCATATATCCCCGAATAATATTTTTAAATTACAACAAAAAACCAAGATCGTTAATATTGATTTTAATATGTAATTTCGTCCAAATTTGAATTTAAAATGTCTGTAAAAAATAACTGTGTTCATAAATTGCTTAGATTTTTTGGTTACAGTATGAATTATTTAAGAGAATCTTTGTTTTAAATTTTTAACTCTTAGTTATAAAAAATGAACATTTTATAATTTTTTAATTCCAACGATTGATAATTTTCGAGATTTTGATAAATTTTGTCAAAATTCCAACTTTAAATGCTTATAAAAAAAAACTGTGCCTATGTATTTTTAATATTTTTCAACTGCTATTGTAACAATATATCAGGAGCCTTGTATTAAATTTTTACACTTTTTGGCCCAACAGATAAAACTTTATTGATATTTATAGAAAAAAAAACTAAAAAAAATTGATAGCTGTAAATGTCCATAAACAGCTCAAAAAGTCTCAAAATATTTTCAAAATTGTATGGTGTATAAAAAATGCTAATTTAAACATTCAGTGAAATTTTCATGTATCTACAGTTGTTCGTTTTTGAATTGCAACAAAATAAGGAAATCGCTACATGAGTAATCGAGTGAAAATCCAATGTTGTAAAAATTTGAATTTCAAACGCTCATAAAAATTTAACTTGACTGTCCGGTAGAGATTTTTTTATTGATAAAGGTACATAATCTTATAAGGAATCTTGTGTTTCATTTTCAAATCTTAGATTTAAAAAGAAAAATTTTTACGAATTCTTAACTAAAAATAATTTGCTAATTTTCGTGATTTTTCCATATTTTGTAAATTTTTGAACTTTAAATGCTTATAAAAAAAAATTGTGACTAAGGATTTTTAATATTTTTCATCTGCCTTTGAAACAACATATTAGGAGCCTTCTATTAAATTTTCAAGCTTTCGCAACCAACAAATAAAATTTTATTGATATTTCTAGAAAAAAAACTAAAAAAAAATGAAAAATGAAAATGTCCCTAAACAGTTCAAAATAAATCAAAATATTTTGAAAATGTTATCGTGTATAGAAAATGCAAATATAAACAACCAGTGAAAATTTCATGTATCTACGGTCATTTGTTTTAAAGTTACACCAAAAACCAAATTCGATTTTGTCAAAAACTGATTTTGCGTAAAAATTCCCGTTTTTCCTTAATTTTTATGTTGTTTTTCCCGGCGCTTGTGAAAACTATTGGGAATTTTAAATTTTGACCTCCCCAATGCACCAACGATATTCACTTTCCAATCAAACAAGATACTGAAGTCGAAAATCGAAGCATTATTTCGACTACTTATCGTGTACACAGACACAAAAATAAAAAAATAAAAAAAAAAAAAACACACATCATTGTAAAATCAATACATTCATCGTTTCACTCAGAATCTAAAAAATAAATAAAAAAAAAAACACACATCATTGTAAAATCAATACATTCATCGTTTCACTCAGAATCTAAAATAAAAATATTTCCATTAATTTAGTACAATTTTTAAAATGATTCCCGTCCCCAGCGTCCCATTAAAAGAAATTAGAAGGGGTACGCTAAAATATTTTTAAAATAGAAGTGGGACTCCGTCCCCCCCCCCAATTCAACCACTGCTTAATATCTTATATCAATGAATCAAGTTTGGCACATTCATTACAGTGACCCGTTTAGAGTTTAGACACCTGAATTTCAGAATATTGGTAACCAGCTGCCAAACTTTTAGATTCTAAGAGGATTAAAAAAATGTATTGTATAATTACAGTGATGTATGTGTTTTTTTGGAATAGGTAGTAAAAATGCTCTGATTTTCGAGATCAGCAAATTTTCCGATAGAAAACTAGAAAAGTGAATATATTTGGTACCTACTATTGAAAACTAAGTAGTTTTAGAAAGCATCAACAAAAAATCTTACTTTAAAATTGAAATATAAGAAAACTGATATTTTTTTAATTATGTCTGAAAAATGATAATAGATCAATTCACTATTATAATAAAGCTAACAACAACACAAATATGGTTATGCTGAATCAAATTTGCAGCTGCACGTGAGTCAGTGAGGGAAGACGAACAATCTCTTAAATCATAATTACAAAACCTTGTTATTTGAATTTTAAGTAGGTAGTAAATTTCAATTCTACTTTAAATTTGGGACTAGTTAAATCTAATATTTTATAATTTATTGTAGTATGCAAAATACTAATAAATATTTGAATGTTATAATTAAATTTAAAATAGATGAATTAAAAAAAAAATCCTTGAATATTTACTTTTATATCATGATGATTGGATAACACTTGCATATTGCTTTATGAAATCGGTGTTTAAATGTATAACTCATTAGTATTTATTGACATTGCATACGCCTTGTTAGAATCAATCCGATGCCATCGTACTAACATTCTTTTAACAAGGAACAAAATATGATAATTTACATGAATTCTACAAAAAATAGGACAATGTAATTTCTCATACAGTTATACCCAAGTTACAGGCAAATCTATTATTTAAAATTGTAAATAATATATTATTATGTCCATATTATTACATACAATGTTTATTTTATTTTTCAATAACAAATTTGTCTAGGATTTACAATATTACATAAGTTTATTAGTATTATTATTATGAAAATATACATACTTAGTTGTTATACCATTAATTTCAAAATACATCACAGTGAGGTTAAAATATGCACACTTAAAGTTTTTAAATATAAAGCTAGTATAAAAATACCTTACAATTTCATATAGGGAGTTAACAAGAGAAAAGAAGACTAAACATAATTTAAGATCTAGTATATCAGTCTTATCAACAAATTTAAATATTATTGTCTAGTAAACGTTAAGCTCATAGTTCATCTTTTTTATGTACAGTTTTACTTGTTTAACAAATTTCTTATCAAGGTTCCATTTGTCTAGTCGTCCCAAATGTTGTAGTTTTGAACACTTATCAATAAATTTTATAACTGTTTGGTGGTTAGTCTACAAATAAATGAATAAAATCATACATTATAATGTATTGAAGAATATCTTATAGTCAAAACTTACAATAGGGTGTTCATCGTTGAGCGAAATCTCCAATCTTTTAAGATTATTGCACATTATTAATGGTGGTCTTTCAAACACTTGTGTATTCCAATAAAGGTGTCTTGAATCACTATATAGCTGAAAATTAATTTTATTGTAATTATAAATATTTATATTGAATATAATTTATTCTAGTAACGTACCTTGGCTTCTTCTAAACTAGGACAGTTTTCAAAAAACCAATTAATTGTTTCAACGGTAGGCATGTGTAATTCAATTGATTTCAGTTTGGTAAATTTTCCAACTGGCATTTCAAAAATATGTAGAAATCCTTTCAACATTAATAAATTTGGACAACTTGCTAGGAGTTTGGCCACATCTATATCAGCTTCCTAGAAATTATGTTATGTAAAATATTATATAATTACTAGCTGAACCGTGAACTTTGTTGCCCTTAAAAGATGATAACTCTTTAAAAAATTTTGATTGTTCAAATCCTTTTGGATGTAACTTGCAACAGTAAGTGCAATTCAACTACCCTGATAGGCAATCCAACTATGTCGGATTGCGGAAAATTTGCAATGAATAGCAATGGATTGGAGCAGTTATTGCAAAATATTGGTAGGCATATGCGACAATCCGATTTTATGCATGCCTGATTAACCAATATACAAATGAAATACTAATACAGTCATTAACACGTTGACCTCCGCACATAAATTTCTATTCTGGTGCCTCAAGTCGTGTATCTGCTGATAACATACGAGGGACAATAAAAGCAATAAAAGTAAATGAAAAAAAAATGGGAAACAAAAATCAACTGCAAAGAATTGGCTTTTTGTATGGCCGTGATAAATAATAAAGCAGTGCCTCTATAGCCGAATTATTTTTAAGCAAATTTTTAATATGCACTATAGACAATCACGGAGAGGACCTGACAGGCCTTACTACCAACGCCAACCCGTGATTGGCAGCAGCTATAAACGTGTTAATAGTTATTAATAATAATAATAATTTAACTAACAATTAACCAATGGCAACTAAAAATTATTATTATTATAGCTTTAAAACCCATAGCAACCATTTATAAACAAAAATTTCCTACGTAAAGCTCAAAATCCCCGTTTGAGTACCTCCCCGGGTAGGACCTTGGCCCTAAGGGTATGAAAAATAGTTAACTTCACCCTCTCAGACCTACTGAATTTGAACACAAAATTTCATGAAAATCGGTCAAGCCGTTTTGGAGGAGTTTGGCGACATACATTTTCCATATTGTGACACGAGATTTTTATATATTAGATAAATAAAATTGTATGTTAATGCTAAAATATGACATTATTATAAATACAAATTATTTGATGTATATTATTTTACCTGACAAAGGATAGTGAGTTCAGACAAGTTACGACCATAGTTAAACACAAAGTTCATAAAATGAAAATTCATCATGTAATCAAGATCAATAGTTAGTGTTTGTACACGGCCCCAAAACATAGATCCCTGTTCAGGATCTGCAAAATCTTCAGGTGTACAAACACACGACAGTCGAGTGTACAGCTTTTTTAGACATGGTAGGCATTCCTTGAGAGATGCTATTTTTTTGCCTGTCAACTGCATATCATACAACTCAGTCAACTGGAATATACGTGGCTTGGGAGAGTTCTCCCATACAGTTACCAAAGCATCGCCAATGTTCCTAATAACCAAATGTATTTTACTTTCTTTTTTTATTCAAAAATATTAATGAGTGTCATTGTTTTACCTGAAGTAAAGGAAACCACCTAAGGCTTTTAGGCTCTTGACACATGCAAGTATCATCAGTAAACTGGCATCTTCCGTATTTGTATCCTGAATCCGAAATTCTTCCAGAGTAAAACAACAGTTATTCAACAAAGACTTATTGTCATACATATTGCTGAGATGTTGACATAGTATTTCGTTTGATACGTTGACTGTCTCCACATACACATCGTTCTAAAGGTACATTATCTATATTAGACTCTGTAATGTATGGTATGTGATAAAGAAAGAATTTTTACTTTAAACAATAAATTTTTAATGCCTGTTTCATCGACATTCCATGAACCAGATACATCTAAATGTTTTAAACATAAGGCATGTTCACCAATAGTTTTCAATATAGCATTATCACAAATAGAACCAAGCTTTAGATGAACAAGTTTTGATGCTAGACCTTCTTGAAATGTTTTCTGAAGGTTATACATTGAAGTGTACACTGCTGGTGTGTAATTACTTTTATTTGACATCTACAAAAAAATATTAGGCAATAAATTATCAGTGTTCAAAATGCAAAGGTACCAATGAGTGCTTACTAGAAAGGTCAAACACAGTTCTTTGAGATGGGTATTGTTACGGTTCAATATAGAAACAAACTCTTGGAATTCTGTTTCCATACCTGCATACAGAAATAAATGTGGTAATCGAGCAACTCCAATGTCCAACATGGCGTTTAATATTATTAACCACATGCTAAGTTTAGCACTCAATATTTTTATGTATGGATTAGTGTCAATCAATCGACAGTTCATATCTCTCCAAATTTCATTATCCTTTTCACCATTATCTCTAAATTAACATAATATGTAAATATGTAATTAATAAATGACAATATTATGTAAAACGCAATTTAGTATTATATATTATAATTATAAATAAAATATAAAAGGCCAAAAGCCATTCTTACAATGTCCGGTTAAGTATCGGTTAAAACTAACCAGCAGAATTCAATCGATAACATAAAATAAATACTGCATTCAAACATGTCTTAACCAGACATTGTAAAAACGGCCCTAAGAGTTTTTCAACTTCAGTTTTGAATTTGTAAATTAAAATTCCTAGTTCTGAATTTATCATGACATAATCCTTATCACTAATTAATAAACAAATCTGATAATTAGTTTAAATATTACTTACAATAGAACTTTGGTATAGTCCAAGATGTTGGTTCTAGCCCAAGCATGAACATTATTAATAAAATATTCACGTGAACCATTCACATCTTTTTTCATTTTGTTAGATATGCTTAGTATGTATTTGCATGCCTGTTCTAGTGCTAAAGTTTGGAGACTTTTTACAGAATTGTATGGAGGCATAGTGATTAAAGTTGTTCCAATATCTAAAATGAAATAAATAAGAAAAACACAATATTTCAATATTTTGTAATATTTAACTTAAATAGTTAAATACGTTTTAGACACTAATATACAGACATTCCATTTGTTTGAGTATCAGATAAAATTATTCTAAAAAAAAATCTGACATACTTTATAGCTTTAATTAACTTATTTAAATGAGTGATGTAAATGCAATTATTTAAAAGATTTACTATCAAATAGTAATGAAATAACAACATTATATTAATTTAAATTAATAAACAAATCAGGTGAACGCTGAAAGGAGAACTGTCAACTGTTTTAAATGCTTTAATATTTTTACAACATAACAATTACATAAACATATAAGAATATGTCGAATAGGATAAGACTAAAACCAGAGACCTATTAACTAGTTCTATGACTAAAACTGTTAAAAATAATTAGTGGTAAATAGAAAAAGAAAAAATTACTACCACAAAACAGATATAAATGATAAAACAAAGTTAAATATAATTTGATCACCCCAAGACAATTTATTCAGTGGGAAAATAAAATCATATCTTAAAAAAAAATAGTGATACATAACTTGGTTGTTGTAGATGGAACCATCCACATTAATGAATAAACAAAATGTGTAGGACCAATATACCGAACAATGACCAAGGATGCTGACATTCTGATCATCGCGGGATATTAAACACTAGTAAAACCGTCAGAACGATTAAAAAACTGTTGGAAAATAAAGGAAAATGCTTACCTATCTACAAACGTCAACGTCGAATACTATTTGTTTTGTTTTTTATTAACCTATCTCCTTCTAATAGAATAATGAATGTCGGTTAAACCCAATTTAACTTGTTAATTCATAATTTTACGAGATACTCACAAGGAAAATAATGAGGCAACGATAACGGATTTCGTCGACGCCTTCAACTTGACACTGAAATTAGCATTTGAATTTTAAATTGCATGCGCTGCTCCTGTCGCTAATTCGGCTGGACTGTTGTTTTTTTATTATTATAAATTCGGACGCCAGTGGATCGGCGGCGGCAGGTCGGTCGCCGCGCGTGCCTGATCACTTGTTCGGTAACACTTTGGTAGTTGGTACCGTTGACCGTTGTTACGTAATTACGTACAACTTACGTACAGAGATGAAATTCGTCTGTTTTGTTTCGTTTCCGTCTCTCACACCTCTCACACACAACCTGTTCACGTTTTTCTCACTGCGGGTTACGTTATACACGTTATTGCACGTCTGCTTAGGTTCTGTTGTTCCCTCTTGCCAGACCAAACGCGGCGAAGGAGAAAGATGAAAATATTTGATGAGTGGGGGCCGTCCGCCGTCGTGGTAAGGGAGAAGGGAGACGAGAACACGATAATGACCGAATTTCAAAACTTATAAGTTCGTCACGATTTCTTAGTACGCGGTCGGCTGGCCGGACGAGCTTCTTTTGCGTGCTTGTTGGACGTACAAAATACTATGCCTTCCGGGTGTACTTACCTGTCTATTTAGATTTTTTTGATAGACAATATTGGACTGTGTCACTGTGGCGAATAGCGAATTGGCGAATGGCGATGACGATGTCAAAATGATGATGATAATAATAAAATCACAGTATTGTTCCGATTTTGATAACGCCTATCACTGTGGTTTACGTCTTTACGATAAGGTCATACTACTCATACTACATAATAAAATAAAATATTATGGTAATATGATATTGTATTCTGTTTCTGTATCTATATTCTATATACTATATTATAGTTATGTACAACAATTCAGTTGTTGACAGATAGACGTCTTTACTCTTTATATTCCTCATAAATGATCAATTGGACAATGGCTATATTGATGGAAGTTAACCGTCATATTATACTCGTATACAATGCTGAAAGCATACAATGATTATGTTTTGTATAAATCTATATTTATATTTATCTATGTATCTATGAGTAAACATTGCCTACTTGGCAAATGTCACTATGGTAGCACAGATTTATATACTATATACTATAATAGTGTAAATGTGTAATATAAATGTATAATGTATAATAGTGTAGTATTAATTATTATAAAAATCTACTGTCTACGTATGGGCTAATATAAGTTAACTTTAATGATAACAACATGAAGACTATAGCCTAGAGAGCCTATAGGTAGCTAGTTGTTGTGTAACACATGATATAAAATGGTATATCATGGTGTGACATCTTTAAATTTCTTTGGTCCAAATCAGTATGAAAAATAAAGCACTGTGGTATTGAAGTATTGAACCATAATTTCATGGCACCAACAACCCGGTACGCTTTTTTCCCCACCTGTTTGGGAGGCCGAATTTCTCGTACCTATATCCGAATATGGTCACCACAGAACATACCACTGACCATAAAATATAAATTATATTCAGTCTCTCAATCATATCCCTATCGGCTATCACACGCAACACCGTCTTTTTTTACTTTTCTATGGTCGTCATTAGTCATATTATCCAATACGGTAATTGTTCTATGGTAATACCATTTCATGTTTTTCGTAGGTTTCGTAGGGATTTCAGATCATAGGGAACCAGAACCCCAATCAGCTGATCGAGTTTCGCTTTTATATTATTCTATCGTGGGTAAAATACTAAATTGTACCGTGATAAAAATTATGATTACAATATTTTATTATTTATCGTTATCAGTCTGTAGAATAAAGATCCGTGGTCGGTCGTTCGCTCAACCAAAATTCGCATCTTGGGGTCTAAGACCTGAGTAGCGACGTGTTGTTTATTGTATTGGGTCAATGGCAGTTGGTCGACCGACATTTGAACTCATTCTCGCGCTCCCGTACACACTTCCATAATATCGTGAACCCCTCCTGGCCCCCCGACCATACCACGGCATTGACCTGCCACCGCCGAAATCGCGGTCGCCATGACGAATTATGTAAATGAGTTTAAATTTACATTTTCAAGCTCATTTACGTACTTTTTTTTCATCTGATCCAGTACCTACACATAATTAGCAAAATTCCAATTTTTAAAAATATTGCAGATGACAGTTTTCTCTAAAGTCAAATATAATTAATGTATTCTCGACATATTTAATAATTAATATTAATAATCGGTTGCATATAATCGCAAACTTCACAGTTTAATAAACGGACGCATTACGCATTGCAATACTAGGAAATTTAAACTTTGGAGAAAGTATATTATATGGACACAAGTCACAAATTCAGAAAAGCAATAGGTATTTACAAAGAAAAATTTTTGAAAATTTAAATTTAGTAAATCATAATTTTGAAAATCAAAATACCGCGATGTATAAAATGTATCGGCCCACCAATGTGGGACTAAAGATCTGAAAAATCTTTAAATATACATCCATTTATGCCCTATGCTCAATAACATATTTGTTGTAATTTAAAAAGAACTAAATACCAATCTCAAAATATATGTGAGGTACTTAAATTAAAAAAATATTATAAAAAAATAAAGATAACTTTTTCTTACACGTTCTCGATATTTTTAATTTCTTTACGTCTCCATATGTATAACTTTTTCAACACTTTATCTATTTTGTGAATAAATCCACCACGAGTAAGGAATAGCCTTTTCCCGTTGAGCAGCGGCGTATCCAGGGGGGTGAGGTGGTAGGGCTTTGTAACACTCTCCCGAATTCAGAAAATTGTTAAATAATAACAACATTTTCATTAATTATTTTAGATTCTGAGTGAAACGATGAATGTATTGATTTTACAATGATGTGTGTTTTTATATTTTTTTATTTTTTATTTTTGTGTCTGTGTACATGATAAGTAGTCGAAATAATGCTTCGATTTTCGACTTCAGTATCTTGTTCGATTGGAAAGGGAATATCGTTGGTGCATTGGGGAGGTCAACATTTAAAATCGTCGTAATTAATAAATTATAAAATGATCAGTTTTTATAGCTAAGGATTGAAAATTTAAAACAAGATTCCACGTAAGTAGTTAATGCTCTTAACGAAAAATCTAAAAAATATACAATCACAGTTTACTTTTATAGTCATTTTATGTTCAAATTTGGACGAAATTACATATTAAAAAACCTAGTTATTTTGTTGTGATGATATAATATTATTCGTGGGTACCTACTTGAAACTTCTAAAGTGTAATATTATATATCTATGATAGTATCATGGTTTGTTATTGATGTTGATGTATAACGTGTTATAAGTACCTAATGGATATTGTGATAATGTGATATGATTAATTTGGAATTTATTATAGGTCAATTTTAATAACATTTCATTGATATTTATAGAAAAAGAAAACTAAAAAAAATGGAAATTAAAAAAGTCCGTAAACAGCTCAAAATGAGTCGAAATATTAGGAAAATGTTATGGTGTATAGAACATGCTAATATTAACATTCAGTCAAAATTTCATGTAACTAAGGTAATTTGTTTAAGAGTTGCACCTAAAACCAAAATTGATTTTTTCGAAAACAGATTTAGCGTACAAATTCCCGTTTTTCCTTAATTTTTCTTATGTTTTTTACAGCGCTTTTGAAAACTACTGGAAAAATGTTGACCCCACCAAAGTACTAACTAGTAACTAGATTCACTTTCCTTTCAGAAAAGATACTATTGAAGAAAATCTAAGCATTTCTACTGTCCTAATAGGTGATGACAGACACAAAAAAAAAAAAATAAAAAAAAAACAGACATCATTGTAAAATCAATACATTCACTCAGAATCTAAAATTAAAAACGATGGCATCCAAAAAAATTGGGCCAGTGGTTTTTGACAAAGCTATACATAGGTAACTGAAAATTAGCACGACCCACACATGATTTGATTGCACCAAAGTTCTCACTTCTCAGAGTCGAAAACTACATAGGTAAGTATAAGTAAAAAATAAGTTTTAAAAAAGGTGGGTAAGTGGATGTCGCTCAGCTGTACAGTAGGTTACAAGTGGGTCACTGTATAATGGATGCTATTAAATTTGAATTCAATGATACAATATCATT